TCCCAAGCATCCTGGGAACCGGTAACTGTAGCCGCTGTTCCGCGGGTCTACCCGTTGACCAGTCCCTAGGGTACTTTACTCCAGAGTAGGTACTTCGTATGGGTCACCGTTGATCAGTCTCAAATACGACAAGGTCCCCCTTTCCAGTGAGAAAGGCTGGATAAGTCCAAGGGAGTCGGGGGGAAGCTCATCAAATTGCCGGATCGGGAACGCGAAGGCGATCCCTGCACCCGAGCGTGTGTCGAAACCTCGAAGGGGGAAAGAGGGGGTGTCGCTTGTGGGGCCATTGCATTCCGAGGCGGCGGTTCGATCGCCGGGAAGGCGTGTCCGCCCATCCGCGGGGGCGAAAGAGCGAGTCTGTCCGCGTCAGTTCGCTCCCGCTGGTAACTACTGCCTAGTGACTCTGTACGGGACTTATTGTTTGCAGTACTTCAAAGAGGTGCGAGTTCGGACTCTCGACCGATTCACTGATCGATCGATTGATTGTAAATTGACCGTGATCGATAGCTAGCCGAGCTCTCAACTGCCTCTTCCGTACGCACTTGGGACTTTTTGGTGACCAACTGTCCGTCCATGAGCTGTAACTGGAGGGATTTGGAGTGTTATAGTATTTTCCCGGGGAAATTAACCCGGAGAGTCGGTCTAGATTGCCGCCCGGCCCTCCGGGTGCTTCCAACCCTTTACCCGTCGGCTGGAGTCAAAGAAGAACTACAGAATAGGCAAAGCTAAAAACAAAATAGACCGAAGTCAAGCTGTCCAGTCTTTGCCGAGGATGGGAGGGTAAAGACTCTGTGTCGCTGCTTTCGCTTCACATGCGATCAGACGTCCACATGACAAGCTTCCGGTTGAAAGAGACGGCGGTGATGGCGGCGGATAGTGTAGTGTGATAGCCAGCGACGGGTGAATTTGGTCTTTGTTACAGAGCTGAATCAAAGAAAGAAGCGGTCGCTTCATCGCCTACCACAAAGAAAACCAGATACAGGAATTGCTGTACGTCGAAGACTACGGTAAAGTTCCAGATGTTTATCGTGCTAGCCTCTGTACTTTGTGTCTGAGTTGCTGCTTGCGCTGGCTTCTATCGCAGACATGCCGGCAATTCAGCGCCAAGGCCCTAGAGATCGAGCGAGTGGACAAAAGTGCCTCTTTCTCCAGGGGTACATATGCGCTGTGATCTAGATGCGATCTCGGGGGGCTGCACGACGCTGAAGTTCGCTTATGAGGTTAGTAGGGGTTCCCCGGTCGCTCTAGTTGATGGTGAGTATAGATCCTATTCTGTATCCAGCCTGGACGGTGAAGGGTGTTATGATAAGTTAAGTTATAGATCGATAAGTACTCGTTCTCGAGTTCGATACATCAAGCCTCAACTTCAGGACAGCCAAAGCAAGACAATGCACTTGACATGCACTCATACCCTCCCCCAAAGAATCAACAACAATGACCTGAAACAAATCAGAAACACACCTTCCCCATCCTCAAATCTCTTTCATGGGCCCCAAGCGAAAACAAGACAAGGGGGATAAACCAACATCCCTCCTCCAACCCCATCCTCCCCCGTTCCTCATACCCGTCAGCCCCGTCGGCCCCCGACCCAGCGTCCGGCGAATCCCCGTCTAACCGCCTAAATAGCAAACCGTCCTTCAATTACACCCTACCCTCACCCCTGGTTCAACTCAACCGGATGTACTCCGTAGACTTGGTCTGGTTTCTTACGGCGTCCTGCCGTTAGCAGTTCAAAACTCCCGAGGTGACGAGCTTAACCGCGCCTCTCCTTGGTTCACTTATTTAACGGTCGGCTAGTCGGTCGGTCGGTCGGTCGGTCGGTTGCTTGGGCTAAATGAAGAGCCTACGAGTAGACTACGGAGTAATGAAACCAGGGTTCAATTTCAGCTGTCTGTCCGGCAACGTGACACGGTAGAAGTCTTATGGGGGGAATTCCGTCTTTCGCTTTTCCGGATGGAGGCTTCCTTCCGCACGGAGGGTTGGGCCGGTTATTTAAGATTGGATGGTGACGACTACGCGACGTGATTGTGGAGGGGGAAGTTGTTCGTGGCTGAAACAGGTGTGAGGGCCTGGCTCCGCCTCCCCAGGCTCGAGTTGAGAGAATAGTACATATACTCGAAAGGAGCCTTGGATGGGGGCGGCCATATGTATGTACGCACTACCTACCCATAGGTTGGGAGGGGCAGAGGGGACGCAGCAGGTGATGCTTATATGCAGATAGCCGAGCGTTGCGAAGGAGTCTGCTGGTTGCGGGCGGTATGGCAGGCATACTCAGCCCACAGATTGGGGATGTTGGTTTGATGTTCGGTGCGACCACTTTGCAGTCAATACCAGTAGCGAGGTCATGATGAGGCTATTCATTTCCTTCAATAGAGACCCAAAAAGGGGGAGAAAAGGGGGGGCTTAAGTTGTCAGGCATACATACGACTTCGTTTCTTCAACGGTGGGTCAAAACTGGGGAACGGGTATCCAGGAACTTTCTTTTTTGATTCTTCTTCTGGGTCCCCCCTGTCGTTCGTGCCAGAGTTCCAGACAATAGACAAATTTGACAGCGGGTACAACCCTCTGGTTCGTGTGCCCCGTGGTTCCATGGTCGACTGCCCAGTTGGTTGTCACTGTTGTTGTTGGATCATGCTGGATACAACCAGGGTACTGTAGCCACTTGACATTCTACAGTAACTTACTGTGAACAGCAGGGCTTAAGAAAATAACCGGGCGGGTACCGCGCAAATCCAGGCCTCTCGCGTTGGAGTCACTTTGGGCTGGACTTCCCCTTCCCCCAGATGATTAGATATTGATTATCGTTTCTTTTTCACGTTTCTCGCGATCAGCGCACGAGTTAACTCGCGAGGTGTGTTTGTCATCGCCATGGACAGAGCAGACCAAGATACCACATCAGATACTCCGTAGTCAATCAATCCTGGCCTGACTGACCGCCAGAAGAAGGGACAAGGGACAAGGAACAACCTTCTCGCGATCGCATCACTATCTGGACGGACTCTGCACGGCGCGTGTGTGTGTGTGTGTTGGACCTCGACCACCAACCAGCCAATCCTTCCCAGCCTTAGTACACACGTTTGAGAGCACTTGCTGGAGCTCAAAGGACCACAACCACCGACTATCTACCGTTATCATCAAAACTCAAGATGCATCGTACATACATACATACATACATACATCCCCGCTCGCGGCGCCTCCCCTCTCTCCCTCCCTATCTTGACTTACAGCGGGCGGATATGTACGTATGTTTCTCCATTCCCCCCATTTCCACCCCATGCTGCACATCACTCTACTAGTAAGTACTTCCGAATGTAGATATCAAACAATAAGAGCGGTGAAACCTCGAGGCTATTGGGTTTGATCGACATTTTCTTTTAGTAGCAACAAGATAAAGGGGAATGGCTGCCGACAAGACGAGGCGTCTTTTTGTTTGAGCTAAGCCTGCAATTGTGTAGTAAGTCTAGTAAGAGCAAGCGAACGGAAGCCAAACGAGAGAATGAAGGGGAAGAAAGAAGCTTGAATGGTTGGAATGAAGAACAGCTTGGACAACAACCACCTTCGACACACCGACAAATAGACCGCAAGATCCCGTTGCGATGCACAACAACCCAAACCACCACCACCAACCGTGGGCTTCCTCTCTCTACTCTGGCGTTCACCCCCTGATTGAGGTTATCGCGGGATCCGAGGGGGTACCGGTCAGTGAAGGGGGTCAGTGTGGTGGTGATGGATGCTGATGGGGTCGGAGTGAGACTGTCATCACATCTACTACGGGGCCATTGGGTAGGAATTATGGCTCATCGCCCCTGAGCTCTGAAACATAGGCTGGAATGGCAGTGCCTCTCGGTTCATATTAGTCTTGGAGATGATGATGTTTCTGCTCGATGCTGTAAGCTGTGTGGTTTAGTAGTTACAGACATCTAGGAGCTATGCACATCATCTGTTCGCTGGACTCGTGTTGTATGAACTGTCAGCTCTCTCTTTTTTTGGGGGTGGCGGAGAAAAGTCCATCTGGGGGATAAATGGGTTCATCGGGGAAGACGGAAAAACTAACATGAAGAAACCGAAAATTAAAAAAAATAAAAATAAAAAAGAAGAAATAAAAATCGCGATGATCGATTTGTAGACCCGGCAGGCCCCATCGGTAATCTTAAATTTGATTTTGCATCTTTGACTCATTCTTTGACAGTTTGGGCCACGGCCTGGAATTCGATCCGATCTTCCCCGGCGGGCACCGATTTGATTGCGTTGAAAAAGAAATCGGGTAATGGTACTGAGTATATAAATAAACCCGCCCTCCCCAAACAGGTGGCCCACGGTCTGTGGGAAGAAAAGTGATAGATCCCACGCCTCGATTGACCAGGGTTGGCTGTCAGATTGATCGAGTCCATCTGCAAACGATTCATCGCGAAAGACACACTACATTCATCCAATGTACTTTTGTTGCTCTTCCCAAGAGGGAACTCGATGTAGAGTCGACTGGAGCAGCCTGAGGACATCATTTCAACATCGAGTATCATTGTTTATTCACGGTGTGAAAGAGTAATAAACAAACAGTCTTTGCACTCTATTATTGATCAACCACGACAACAAAACAAAAACAACACCACCACCACTACTTACTATCACGACGCGTGAAATCGCGACGAAACTGAAGAGTACACACTACTGACTGTGTACTGGACATCCTCGGTCTCCGCCTGATCGCCCGCGCTTGACTTGCAGCTGGCGGAAAATTCCAAACTCGTCGCTGGCCCTTTTTTTTTCCCTGAATATTTCTTTTTTCGGTCATTTTCCTTTTTTCCTTCTTCTGTTGCTTATTTTTTCTTTTACCCTTTTTTTTCATCCTTTATTTTTCCATTTCTTTTTTAATTTCTGCAATCAAAAAAGAAATAAATTCCAAAAGGGAAACCAATCCCCCGCCCTCCCTCCCTCCCCGCCTTATCTGCTGTTGGGAGATGCAAGGGAGTCCAGACTCTGACCCGCGATCGATCTGGCCCTGCTTGTTCCTCTTCTTTTATTCACTTATACAAGTACTTGGAAAGGTACTTCTTGAATCTTTTGACACACCATCTCTTTCAACGCTACTCTCCGCCATTTGCTCACCACCTTACCGGAGGTGATCGTCCAAGCTTTATTTACTTCCCCAGCTCCTCCTCTCCTCCACCAGGTCGATCATCCTATATCTACTACTCTCATCCACTCCTCTCCTTCTCCTCTTCTTCCTCTTCGCCACACTCTCCACTCCATCAACACTACCGCACCACTTCACCACCTCACCACAACTCAACACAACACAACACAGCTCTCACGCTCTCAAGTCTCTCTACGACTCGAGATCATCTCTTTTCTCACAATCCAGATCGTGCAGACAATACTCCACAAGCATGTATCCCCTACTGCCTTGGAGTCAAAACCAGTCGAGTGTCCGCTCCTCGTTGAGTGAGGCTACCACCAGCACCCAGACGGTTTCTTTCAGCTTCAGCTATGGCAGCTCCTGCTCGCCGAGCTCCTTGCCGCCTCCACCGCCTCCTTCTCCCAACGACTCTCTGCTCGACATCACTCCTCGCAAGTGCTCTTTCTCCAGCAGCTATGGACTGAACAACTCGTGCGCCTTCCCCTCCTGGCCCAACCGACCATCCCTTCTGAGCGCCGATTCCGAGGGCTCGACTGCAAGTGCCTATCTGTCCGATGAGGATCTCTTCCCCAATGGTTTCGACGTGCCTTCAGACAGTGCTATCGACGAGGAGTCCGCAGCACAGGACCCCGCCATGGATCTGACGACTGAGCAGCAGATCCAGATGCTACGCGCCGCAGCCGATGAGGAGCAACAGCGCGCACGTTTCCTGGCCCAGGTCCAAGCACATGCCAGAGCCCAGCAAGCCATGCGTGTGGCCCAAGTGGCAGCTACAGAGCGCGAGAATGCCAAACGCAACAAGAAGCGCAAGGCCGTGCCAGAGCGGAAAAGGCGCACCACCTCGGGGACCAAGGCGACTATTTGCCGGGTCTAGAGACTAGACATCCGCTTCTGTACAATCATTCTCATATCTCAGCGTTCTTGTGCATGTTTCACTATCGATACCCCCGCCCCCCCACGGTCCATTACCGTGGAGATTAGGGCTGTCCCATGATCAGCGCCGTTTTATCCCGCCGACATTGGGCTTGATCATATGCGATCAGCGATTCGCATTCCGGCTCTTTTTCTTTCTTCTCTCCTCGACAACTATCTAATTACTTTTTCAACAACATTCCTTCTGCTTTCCTCTCTTCTGTATCTGGATATCAGCCAGATGATCAGGCTCTTAACCCCCCCCCCTGTCGAAGCGACCAGTCAGGACTGTTTTCCGAGGGAGAGGTTCAGGCGCCCAGACATCACAAGGCGTGCTGCATCCGATTATTCTCGAACGGGGATTTTCCATGCTAGGAAATCAAGGCGAAGACAACGATGACGACAGGGAGAGCCGCACGTGCGCGGGCCTGGGGTTACGCGCCGTAGCCGGCGGGCGGAATTGACAGCCCGGAGTTACCAACCACGCTGTCTGATTTGGTGCCCGAGCGCTGGCTGCCTGATTATCTAATTTCCCCTTCGCTGTCGGCGCATTTGATTGAATTTCCCAATTCAAAAGAAACTTAACCCCTCCTTGGTTATTTCTTTATCGCCCCCGTACCCCCCCGACAGTCCTTCCACCCCCCCTGCACTCCGAACAGGGCTTTGCACTGCGAGTTGAGCCTATCAATCCGCACGATCTCACCGCCATTGTCAGGACGCGCTTTGATCGCAGACCCTCGCCTCGATAAGTGAGGTGAAGGTGACTCATTGATTGCGAACTGACTGGCATGCGCTTTGATACTCTTACTCGGACTTCCGGACTTCAACTCCCTGAAGAACGCCGTTGCGATGAGGCGAGATAACGATCGGTGCCGCGCATTCCTCGATTTAATACCCTATCTCCTCTTTCTTGAGTTGTTCCATTTTCCATGCGTGGTCGCGATGGTGTTGGCGGTGTCTCTCTACGCACCCCTAATGTCTTGTTTTTCCCGGTTATTATACCCATGATTTGTTTTCTTTTTCCCAGTTTCCTAGTATTTTCGGGACCGAAGCGTACTTCTTCTATCATCAGCTGGTTGATCTGATTTGTTGTTTTGTCTTTTTCTTGTTTCGAATCTTCCCACAGCGTCTTGATTTTATCCAAGTGTTTGTCGGACGATTAGATACCCCGTCATGTATGTATGCCTCTTTCCTTTTTTTTTTTTTTTTTTTTCTCGTCGTTTGTTTTCCAGCCCCATACCCCCGAGCGTGTTACACAGAACAGCTCCAGCGTTACTTGCTTGAAATTGCATAGCTCGGCGAACATACCCTAGTGATTACTGCTGCTTGTTGATTTGCTTTGCTGGATAGGATGGCAGAAGCAGGATGACTCTGGTTAGGATGACCTGATAAGGAATGAAGAATTATTGTATCTCTCATATTTTCGTCGTCGCTGTCCAGTAAGAGGTACGAGTAACGGTTGCTTAAGACTTGGAGCGGCATCAGTGCCATCCTCGTCGAACTTACTGTAAGACTGGGCTATACAGCGAAGATTGTGACTCCAACATAATTTATCAGTCGATCAACTCTAGATTTGGGAAATGATTCCATAGACAGACAGACAGACAGACAGACCAGACAATCCTAACTTCTAGCACGAAAGAGGATCCAGACCTATGTATATCCCCCGCTACCCTTGACTTTATCTATTAAGCCACCTAAAACCACCACCACACCTTAAGCTCCATCATCCATCCTTTCAAGCTTCAGCGTTGCTCACCACCATCACCACCCCCCAGTTCCACGTGGAAATCCCCTCACCAACCCTCCACAGCCCTCTCAAACTCAGCCAAAACACCAAACTCCTCTCAATCCCATTATCGAGATGAGAAACATCTACAACTTCCTTAACAAAACTTCCCCGACCTCCCGAATCAACGCCCGATCCTCCCCCTTCAACCCGGGAACCTCCGCCCCCTTCGCCACGACCGTCTCCGCCACACCCAACGCCTTACAAAGATCCACCACCTCCCCTTCCTCAGGCGCCTCGTACACCAGCAGTCCCAGCGCAAAGACCAGCCCGTGCACCGCCTCGCGGCTCTGGGTCTCCTGCGCCAGCGCCTCGGCCAGCGAGGCGACGAGCTCGACCTGCGTGTCGACGGGGAGGGGGTCCGCGTGGCCGGCGAAGCGGGCGTTGTGGTTGTGGGCGGCGAGGTTGTAGGCGAAGGAGGTGGCGACGATGCGGAGGTTGGGGTGGGGGTCTAGGAGGGAGGTTGTTGTGAGGTTGAGGAGGGGCTGTAGTAGATGATTGGAGGAGGAGGTGGATGAGGTGGATGAAAAGTGGTCGGCGTAGAGGGGGCTGGTAAAGAGATTGCAGGCTAGTTGGAGAAGGGTGATGCGTAGTGGGTATGAGGGATTATCGGTGGTGGTGGTGGTGGTGTCTGCAGATGAAAACAAAGTGCGGAGGAGCTCGTGGTGCGGGTCTTCGGCGGCGAAGTAGCCAGACACCCTGGGATCGAGGAACAACAGCCGCACGAGATCGACAAGCGCGAAGTGGTTCTCCGGGGCGAGGGTGGAGATCGTGGTTTGGAGGTAGGGGCCGAAGGTCGGGAGGGATGCTGGGAGGGCGACGTCGGCAGCACCACCACCAGTGGTCTCAGGGGTTGTCGTGAAGCGGCGTTGAATGAAGTCGAGGATGGATGTCAGCGTCGGGTCGTCGGTGTGGGGGTGGAGCTTCTGGCGCAGCTTGTCGAGCGGAGGGATCTTCTTGTAGGTGACGTAGTTGGGGAGGTGGCGCTGGAAGCTGGGGAGATGGAGCTGGCGGTGCCGGTGCGTCGGGGTGGCGGCCATCTCCAGCAGCAGGCGCACGTTGCCGCGCAGCTGCGCTGGGTTGGCGCCGGACCACTCGTCGACCTTCTGGCCCTTGAGGAAGGTCATGAAGGTGGGCGTCGCGCGCACGCGGTATTGCGCGCTGACGTCCAGCGCGCTGCTGATGTCGACTTTGATCAGGGTAGCGCGGGCCCCCGCCTCCTCGGCCAGTTCGTCGTACGTGGGATAGACCATCCGGCAGGGCGGGCAGGTGGCCGAAGTGAAGAAGATGACAGCGCATGAGTCGGAGGCGGCGGTGAGATGCTGCTCCAGCTGCGCCAGGCTGCTTGCCATTCGGACTACACCCTGCGTAACAGGCGCCGAGAGTTGGGCCGAGGGAGCTGCTGGTGCTGGTGCTGGTGCTGGTGCTGCTGGCGGTCTGGAGGCGGGCGGCGCTTGAGCGCCGTCTGTGCCAGTGCCTTGGGTGACACCACGCAGGGCCATTTCGATCTGTGGCTTCATCATTTGACCAAAGGGAGTGCTCAGGAAGGTCTGCGGGAGGTTTTGGATGTGCTCCGGGATGCCCTTTCCGAGCAGAAACATGGCCAAGTCTTGGGTGAAATTGTTGCAATTATGCAGGAAGAGATCGTAAGACTGGGGAAGGGAGTTTAGTTGTTGGCTGAACGCAAGAGCACCGTGACACACATACCTCGGGCGTGTAAATCCCCGCCATGGACTGGATGTACTCGTCGATCACGTCCAGGGGGAGCTCCGTCTGGCCCAGATGCAGCTTCTCCATCGGCTGCCCATGGTGGGTGCTGCCGGGGACAGCCGTTTGGATGCCCTGGCCGAAGTAGTACTCGACGCCATTGAGGACCAGCGAGGTGTGGTAGATGGCATCAATTTGGGTGCCGGTCAGAGGCATAGAGTACTGGAGATGCTTGCATTAGATGCGATGCAGGTGTGCTGCTGAGCGACATGACTTACCAATCGCGCGAGACCCTGTGCGAGAATCAGTTAGTGTTTTGATTTGTGACCAAAGATAGAAACATTGGAACCACCTTGGAGAGGTCATAGACGTACAGCTCAACATCCATGATGAGTAGACTGGTTGACTCTCAGCAACGTTGGCGTGGATTGAATTGTGATGCATTCGCTTCGACTTTTAACGATGAGTACAGATGGAGGCAGGCATCTTTCGGTTTACGTCAGCCGCAGCGCGTCACGAGATGGAAGGGGAAGAAAGATTCTCGAAGACGATGGAAGGTTGTCAATGAAGAAGATAGATTGTTAGGAGAGAAGAAGTGCATAAGGTAGGTACACTAATGTAGTACGGTAGACAGAGTAACTGGATTGTAAGTAGCAAAAGAGACCCTGTCCTCTCCCTCTCTCTCTCTCTCTCTCTTTCTCTCCACCAATCAGCACATGACATCATCCATCTTCAATCCATCTTCATCCTTTGCGCGCGCATTCTTTTTTCCACCGCCAAACCACCCTCTGCGCAGACCACCATGGTATAGTCCAATCTCTCCACCCCTCCCCCGATACCCTCCCTCAAACCACATACATAATACTCACCTCCCCCTCTCCCGGTCCAGCCCCCGAAAGCCAGAAAACGCGGCGCCCCCGGCGCAACCACCACCAACCCCTCCGCCCCCAAACGCGCCCGCCAATCCAAACTCGCCAAAGAAAACAACATCACTGCTGCCGAAGAAAGCGAAATCAAAGAAGTGTTTCATTTATTCGCTGTGGATGACGTCGATGAGTTCGCCGACGAAAAGGAGGGGGTGATTCTGGTTGACGATGTGAAGAAAGCGCTGTCGTATGTACACCCCTACTACACTCACGTTTTGTTGAGCGCAACACCCTTCCTCCCAAATACACCTACATCTCCCCTTCTCCCCCAGAGCCCCCCACCAACCCGCGCATATACGTCTAGACTGACACCAACAAACCGCAAAAAAAGAGCATTAGGCCTCCCCCCAACCGCCACGGAACTCCCCTCCATCCTCTCCGCTCTCGACCCCACCGAGACCGGCTACGTTCCCTACGAACCGTTCCTGACCGTCGCCGCTGCGAAGCTCCGCTCTCGCTCCGACGAGGCCATGGCCGCTGAGGTGGATACGGCGTTTCGGCTTTTTGTTGGGCGTAGTGGTGGTGGCCGCGCCGAGGTGATCACCCTGCACCATCTCCGGCGCATCGCTCGGGAACTCAAGGAAGAGGCGAATGTGGATGATCAGTTGTTGAGGGATATGATACTCGAGGCCAATGGGGGCGCCGGGGTCGGGGCGGGGGTCACACTGGGTCAGTTTCGAGATGTCATGCAGCGGGCGGGGGTGTTTTGATTCCCCCAGGGGGTTGGGGTGGTAATGTGATGTGATGAATGATCTTTTGACGATGGTGATGAATTATGTGGCATTGGCATTGGCGTTGGTTTTACTTCTAGGGGGAAGACAAAAAGGCAGGGGATTTGATTTAGGTATGATGTAGCGGGCTGGCGTTGTTGGGGTAATCTGGATATATGCAGTACAGTACAGGAAACAGGCATTGGGTTGCAATGGTGTCAGTGGACATTGTACAGGATCATCGAGTATCACCGACAACATCCCATAGAAATGCCAATTACTTAACGTGCTAAATATCCGCGTTCCAAGGAATGCGAAGTAATGCGCCCACTCATCGCCAACGGCATCTCAGGCCTCTCCCTAAAATACAGGCATTGTTGTACACTGCAGGTAGAGCACTGTCCAATAAGAAACAAAAGCGAGAAGACATGTCTCCAAAGGCGACAGAGAGACCAGCCGTCTTCAAACGGGTTGCGCACATTGGTTGGGGTATCATATAACGCTGATATACAGAATCTAGGGTGTGTGACAGAAAGGTTTCATAAATCCACCTTCAAGCCCAGCGGGGGTTTCTCGTTGTGCAAATCTACCGGTAGCGAGGCAGCCACGCTGGGTGCTTGCGATACATCCGAAACCGAGTCCCCCGTCGCTGATGTAGCCGACACGCTGTCAGACGGGCGCCTGCTGGAGATCGACGAGTGCGAGATGTCGCCTGCTTGTGAGGCTAGCTCGTCCGAGTCTGCCTTCCAAGAGGAGCTCGGCTCCACTGCTTCGTAGAAGAGCATGAACGCACCGCCTTGGGACAGCACGCTGGCTTCGCTGACCATCTGCACGTCCTCGTCGCTGAGTCGGTACCACCGCTCCGATTTTTCCTTGTCGCCGTCCGCCTCCAGGACGGCTTCGGGTACGTGGGCCGGGAAAACCTCTGTCGGGTACTTTCGGTAGCAAATGTAATGACCGTTTTCGTGGCGACCATAATGCGTGACCACGGCTCGCAATTCATAGAACCGGCTGGAGGAATCGTCTCCGCGGCCTCGTGACAGCATCGAGACTCTGGGGTCAGTTCCCCATTGCTCTATGTCTCTGTGAGCTGGATCCTGAGACACGCCCCCCAAGCACCATTCGCTCAGATCCATGGTCGTAGGAAATTTGACGGCAGCATAGTTCTTTCGGAGCATCCCAGTCATTTCGTCAAACATGCTGCGGTTGATGTGGACAACCAGACACTTCGGGGGTCGGGCAATCACCGCCTGCCGGGACTTCGTACTTGACACCCTGTTCTTCGACGGGATGTGGCATTTCTCCGATAATGTCTTCTCCGCGAAGTCCTCCTCCTCCAGTGCCTCGTCGACAGCCCCCAGACGTTCCTGGGCCGACTTCCGGAGAGCATCCGAGACCGTCTGAGAGCCAGGTCCCGTTTGCGAGGCTTCACTTTCCCCGTCAACTTGAGCCAACAGATTCAAAAGCTGCGTGCGGGTGCGCAGCAAAGTACATTTCGCGCACTCCACTCCCTCAATCGGCTCCAGATGCATGTACTGATGAAGACACTCCCGGATATCGTACTCGAACTTGGGCCCAAGCGGTACCGTCAAGCAGTTGAACGGGATCAAAGACAGCCCCTCGGTCCACCCGCATTGGATACAACCGACTCTCTGAGCGAGAAGGCCTTCCAGCGGGTTCTCCACGAGCTGGGGTTCGGTGGCCGACCGCAGATCCCTAGTGCGCTCCACCTGCACCAAGGGGGAACCCTCATCGGTTCCAATGACATGCTCCTGCGGTCCAGCCATTTTCAGGCCCAGGTTGCGCGTCTGCCGCCGCGTCGCTTGCCGCACCTCCAGGTCCAGCTGATCCACCATCTTCGCGAAGTATTCCTGCGCATCCTGCTGCTGCCAGCTGCTCATCGACTTCAAGTCCGGCGGCGTCCACAGCCGCTGGCCGTAGCTCTCTGCGCTGTTCAGCCGCTCGATTATCTCCTTCAGGGCCTGGTGGGTCGAGAACGAGGACCGCTGGCCCAAGTCCTCAAGGTTCTTGTCCAGAAAGTCCTCCAGCGAGTGCAGGGAGGCCAGTCCCTGAATGATGCTGTTCTGGTAGCATGAGTTGTCCCAGTTGCCCAGACCCGGTGGAAGATTGTCCTTGCCGCTCAGAAGCGAGGTGCTGAAGCCCGGGAAGGTCGACGCGTGAGGTAGGAGGGCAGAGAGAAATCCATTGTCGAGACCAAGGATCCGTCGCATCGCCTCGCTTTTCGCTTCGAAGCTCATCGACGAGGAAGAAGAGGACAACGACGAGTCTGCCGAGTCGGGTTGTGTGGCGTCGAGTGCGGCGACCAGGCGCGACGGGGTCAGGCGGACCACTAAATTCCATACGATACGAGCCAGCGAAAAGGGAAGTAAGCCGAGGTAGTTCAATATCAAATATACAGATGAGACGGTCACGAGTACGCTGGCTGTGAAGTTGGGATGGTCTTGCAAGCGCTGTAGAGCGGGATCATAGTTGCTGTAAGGCACGCTGCTGAAGGAACTCTGAGTAGAGAAGTCAATTCCCTCTCTGCGAGCGTTCATGGCTGGTGAGAGAAGGTCAGTAACTGCGGCATGGGGACTGAGCTATAAGCACATCGAAGCAAGCAGAAAAGGTGGAATGAAGGCAGGCAGAATGGTCTGATTGCAAAAGACGAGGGCCGAATAAGCAGCAGCGGCCAAATGCGTGTTGGGTCGCTACCGCCTCCCGGAAAAGTTTTTATCGATAGGCAAGTCTCCCTCCGTCTCCACAACAAATTATTTCATCGCTCGGGTTCACTTTGCATGATTTTGCCGTGTGCACCATGGCTAAGTCGAGACGTAAGTACACTTGATCTGAAACTACTCGGTTCATTTCTAATCTTATTGCGCTTATCATAGCCCAGTCCAAACACTCCCGTGCGGCCCGCCGGGCAGCTTCTCCTAGTCTCGACCTCGACAAGTCGTTGACCTCCCTCCCTCGGGCGGAGGAGACTACCGTACAGCGTGAATCCATTCTGGCCGATCGGGCCAATGCTGGTGTTTCGAAGAAGAAGTCCAAGTCGAAGCCCTTGACAAAAGCGCAGCGCGCAAGACAGCAGAAAGGTGTTGAAAGAGCAGAAGCGGTCATGGACCAGCTCGAGAGTAAAGTCAACCGCAGCATCAGTCGTGCTAAAGTTGTCAAAGCTCGTAGGGTATGGGCTCTAGCCAAATGCAAATACTTCTTACGCACAATCCTCTGACAATGGACGCTTTTAGGGCGAATGGGAAGATCTGAACCGCAAGGTTTCGAAGACAATGTTCCAAGCGCTCGCCGATGAGGCCGATGACGCTGACGACGCCATGATGGATGACTCTGCCCCCGCGAAGAAAAGCAAGCCCGCAACGCAATCGACCTTCGCGGCCCAGAACCTGGCTGTCGATCAACACGCCGATAACGACGAGGATGACGAGATCACTTGAACCAGCTTCGCAAGAGAAGGTCTTGGGGTCGCACCAAATCTTTATTTCTTCGGCCTCAGCTGCTTGATCATCCGGTCGATTTCGGCGGCGGCTGGTCCGGACGCCCGTGCCTGCAGGAGCTCGAGGGCATTCATATTCTTTGCTCGGAAGGCTTCCTCGCCTGCTTTGGCTATCATTCCACATTTCACCCACATTTCCACTTTTTCATCTGCGGGCAGGTTGGTGCATTTGGGGACAAAGACCGAGGCGAGCTTCGTGTTACCCGCCCCTAGGATTTCATTGTAAAAAGGCTGTAGTGAGTCTTGTGAGTATATGTATGTTTTGGGGAGTATGGCTTTCTCTTACCTCCCACCCTATTGGGGACTTCTTGATTTTGCCGATGTCTTCCAACTCGCCCCAATCTCGCTTAGCGACCAAGGCTCTCAATCTCAACCACCAGAAAGTTTTCTCTGGCATCTTGAACTCGCTTTGGAGCTTCTGTGCTCTCTTTCCGTAACCTGATCTGATCAATCTAAATATTGTCTCGTTCAAGCTCAGGCCTAGAAACTCGGACCTGTCAGCGAGGTCCTTGTCCAAGGCTTCTTGTACTTTGAGAAGCTGTGAAGCTTCCGACACTAGCTTCTGTTGTAACACCGCCGAGGGATCTTTCGAATCTGCCAGCAGACGGGATGCTAAGTGAAGTTTCTCCGTCTTCCGTGGCAAATCCGTCTCTTCCAACGCCTCGGACAGAAGCACATTTGAACCATCAATGGGGCGATCATCCTGGTAAAACAAATCTTTGAGCAGCTCCTTGTCCTGCGATCGGGCGTTTGTCTCCACCAGCGCAGATGCCATCGGACGGTTGTTTATTGTCCGGAAAAAGCTTGCAAGGGGAAGCTTTGTCTTGAGCTGCAGAAGGACGTAGTTCACCAGGTCGATATCTCCACTTTCAATGGCTTTGTCTAGAGCGATTTCATCCTCTTCCATGTTCAACAGCAGCGGAACCTGCTTGCCGGCCCGCGGTTCGTGGTTCAATAGCTGTGTTGCGAGATGCACCCGTCCTTCGTCGAAAGCCGTCTGAGCAATGAGTTCGAAAGATATGCCTGGCTTTCCGTCCAGTCTCTGGACAATAAGCTTACAGACGGCGTCGTCGTCTCCCGTCGCGACTTTGACTTTTTGGCTCGCCCAATGAACGTAGATTCTGTCGGCGGCAAGTTCAAGATATTCTGAGATTCGGATTGCGAGAAGATACTCGTGCCTGTTCACCAAGCGTTCAATGAGCCGCTCGGGCGTGAGGCGCATGTACTGCTCGTAGGAGATCGGCAAGCCAATTTGATAGTCCCTTACAGCCTTCAGCACTCGCAGTTTCTCCGTCATTTCCACGAAGTCATCGCTGTTGTATAAATCAAGCACTGACTTGCCGAAGGAGGCCGCCTTCAGCAGCCGCTTTTGCCAGTGCGGATCAAACTCCTGGCCCGCTGCTTTGACGCAGGTGTCAACTGCCTCGGGCAGACTCGGGCGAATTCGTTGGATGTTCTCATCGGCTTTGGGAGATTTCTTCTCCAGCAAGTCCACTGAATCTAGGAGCACTGATGCCGGCGAGGTAGAGCCAAGCCGGAAGATAGCCTCCGTAACATCTTCACTCGGGGCGTTAGTAGCTAGCATCGAGCGATTGCAGCGGAGACCTACCAGTGACTTTGTGCAAGAATTCGCATGCATCGTTAGTTATCAGTCGTACGCCATCGAATTCCGGGACGACATGAACGGTCCCATCGTAGTAGTACCTGCGATAGTCAGAGACGATGGAGCATGCGGCAGATTAGACGTCTAAAGCCCATACCTCGCGGCAACTCCATTGGGACCGATGAGATGCACCTCATCCTCCCACGCGATAACAACGGCATCATTTCCACACCAGTCCACACTCCTGGGCGTCACCCGAGACTCCGGGTCATATTCGCTGTACTTGCTTTGAAAGTCGCTACTTACCACCCAGACTTTCCCTTCTGCGGTTATGAGTGCGACAAATCTCCCAGTTGGGGAGACACTCACATGCTTGAAGGGTCCATTCTGCAGGATTTTGTCCTCTGCTTCTGTGGGGTCAACCAGGTAGACGGTCTTGTCAACGGCAAGCAAGACCTCGACTGATCGAGACAATGTGTACGCCGGAGGTATCAACGACCACGACGATACCTCTCCTTCGGGACAAGGGGCTAAGAGGCGCGGCCGAGGTTCCTCGTAGTTCGACACGGCCACCAGCTGATTGTTCGAAAGCAGGGCCACGAAGCCAGAAGTCCAGAACCGACACCCCCTCACGCCGTACTCAGCCGCACCCTGGATCAAAGTCAGGGGGGCAACATAACTCAGCCCAATGGCACGGGGGAGACTTACGTTGCCAAGGGAAAAGGAAGTGAAGTCGCCGTGGAGCCCGTAGTAGCGGCGGACAGTGCCATCTTCAGTGATGACCAAGAGCTCCTCTCGATCGGACCAGCCAAGACCACGGATTGTGCCAAACTCCCACTGACGGCAGGATTAGGGAAGCGGATCTCATGTCACGGGGACAGGGGGTGACTTACATTGAGACGATTGATTAGCTTGCCGGAGCACGAGTAGATGTCAATACTTGACTTGGTCGTTTGGGCTTCCCGGAAGCGATATGGCTTGCTTTCATCACGATGGAGTGCTGTGAAGGAGCGTCAGTACAGTAGTCGCCGAGACGTGGTCCCCAGCATGATGCCTCGTACCAATGGCTCCGCCGTACGGAGCGCCAGCGATGATGTAGTTCTCTAATTCAATGTCTTCATCGAAGATCGCGTCATATATGAGGACCTTGCGATAGAAGCTATCACCCAGTCTCTCCCAGTTTGCCAGAGGATTAGAAGGCGCCATTGGCAGCAGTCGGGGGGGCGACTGTGAACAGGCAGGGGATGAATTGAAGCCAGGGAATAACAATGAGCGGGCGCTGATGTTCCTCGGGGATCCGTCCGGAGAAGTAGTAAGTGATTCGTTTGGGAGCTCGGTCTTCCCGGTGCTAACCCGATTGAGTTATCGAGCTGATGGGTCCCATAAGTTATCACCATCGCTGCCTCAGGCGTGATACAGCTCTTTCTCTCCAGACATCATTCAAATGGCTGCTGCCACGATGCCTGCCCACACAAGATACGATGGATCATAACGTGGAGATCCGCAATCTGGCCCTGGAGCTATCAGACCTAGAGGTCGCACTGTTTCTCTGCCTCGCAGTCCATGAGCATTGTCGAGTTGAGACGACCGACACCAATATCAATGACGTTGCCAAAGAGCTCGCCCTGGTAAATAAATATACTTAGGACTACTCGCCATTATTATCCCCTATCGACTAATGTGCTCGGGCGCTAGATCTGCTCCATCACCTTTGGATTGACCCGCGTCCTTGTCGATTGTTCTTCTGCGACCACCGTTGACACCTTCCTCACCGCAATATCCGCACCGCAGCCTCCCAAGGATCATGCCCGTCCTACGCGTTCGCGCATGCCCACCGAGTCCGTGAGTGTCTTTCCCTAGGAGAAAATCAAATCCTACGATCACTGACCAACCCAGTCGAGTACATCACTCTCCACGCATGACTTACAGACCGGCAAAGGTCGTGCAAGGTCGTCTAAGCTCCCGGGACAAACGTCCACCATCCCTAATGTCATCATAGCGAAGAACTTCAATCATGTTGATGACGAGATCCAACGCACACTTCTCGAGGTAAGGGCGGAGAGGTTGTTACCCTACCGCAGCATTTCCGCGAGTCTAACTCTGCCTTGCGGTAGTTGATGCGCTCGAAGAAACTGTCCCTGCAGGCTGGGACCTGGGAAGCACCGGCAGACTTCCTCTTTGTGCCCCTAATAGCACGCACTGGGGGCCGGGATCAGCCCTTGTTGAATCCTCATCTGGTCTGGATCTCTTATGATTATGTGCATTGATTTGATCTTGGCTGATGCATACGCAGAATGACCACCTCTTCATCTCCCACTACCAGGACCCCGAGGATAGCTTCGTCTATCTGGAGGAGGACAACGACTGGCTGTCTGAGGGACAAGCTTCCGCATCGTCTGTGATCCGTAAATCCGATACCAAACCAAGTCAAAGCCACCCAAATATAGATCGCAAGGTACCCCGTCATCGCCCTTTTCCCCGACTCCGGGCGAGCTGCTCAGTCGTGGGGAAGCAGAGCAGTTCAAGCTGACAATGAACCGGCAAAAGGTATTGGATCACGTCCAACAAGCCAGCGATGCTGTGATCGTCGGGGCAGACATCATCCGCTACCAGCAAGATATTGTCGTGTTTTTGCGGCTCAGTCGCGCAGTCGCTGGCGGCATTTCCACGCGGTCGAACTTGCATTTCAAGGCATTCTCCAGGTCCGTGTTCCCATTGCTGGTGCTCATTAGAGTGGAGATCGTATCCTTGCTGAACGCAATCTCACTAGGTTACTCGCCGTCTTGCATGGCCTGGATTTTGTTACCCCGTCAATCGTTGCCTTGGCGGCGAAGAAGGTCTTCCGTCATCGGATTGTTGTAGCCAGGCCGGAGGATGATCGCAGCTTGCAGTATGGGAGTGACCTGGCGGCTGTGTCTAAGGTGCTGGAATACGCCGATCCTGATACGATATTGGAAGGGGTGCTTACGCTGGAGGCGCCGTTGTGATCGGAGTGTGTGTAGCGACCCTGCCAGGGGAAGTCATGAACCTCGCTGTATGGTAGTAGACTTTTGTTCTAATCAAGGTGTTATCTCATGACCGCCTAGATTATATGTGCATGAATGTAGCTCGAACCGGCATCGGTTCCGTTCCACGCCCTCAGGATCCAACGAATGAATGAACAATATATCGTATCATCATGCAAGCCCTGTCTAGCAGCGCCGCTCACTCCCATCCCGCCCTCTACGCCCACTCCACACCTCACAACCAACCTCGTATCCGGGGTTGTTCTAAACCGCAGCACTCACCGCCCCATCTCTCCTCAAGAACAACTCCGGCAGGGTGAATCCGGTTCCCGCATCGCCACCGTCATTCTCAACGGCAGCACCGTTCGATCGTTCAGCATGCTCAACGAACGCCATCGTCTTGCGCCATTCGGCCAGCACGACGTCCACCTCGGTTTTGGCGTCCCCAACGATGGCGTCCATCTTGATGTCGTTACGGTCGTAGCCGAAGGGATCCTCAAGCTGCGAGCCGATACCCTCGATGCCGTACAGCGTGAAGATCACCAGGCTGACCATCGGGACAGTCCACCAGCCCATATCATCGACCATGCCGAAGGGGAGGACGCAGCCGAAGAGGGCGAGGACTTGCTTTTGGTGGATCCTGGAGTTGAGAAGGGGGAGGAGGATGAGTCATGTGGGAATCGTCCAGGAGAAGGGGGAGGAGGGGGGGGGGGGGGAAAACTCACAAATGAGCGACCGGGATAGGCGTGAGCTTAATCGTCTCCATCCGCCCATAAGCATCCGTCAGAGTGTTCAACTGCGCCTGCATCTGACTGGCGCCGGGGGCATGGAACCAGCCGCGCTCAACGCCGCGCTTGATGAACTGGTCAACGAAGAAGGTCAGCTGGTAGGGGAGGCCCAGGCCGGCGTCCTCATGGCCCTCCAGCCCCGCGGGCAGGAGGCTGGCGTAGTCCGGGTTGAAATCCGTGACCCCGTTCTCGGCGACGTCGCTGCCCAGAGCCCAGGCCGCACCCCACTCGGCGCGCAGGTGGTTCTTGACGGCGAAGGGAATCGCCATCAGGATGCGCACCGTGCGCTCGATGTCCTGCTTCTCGGGCGCCGTCGGGGCGCCACGGGCGCTGTAGCCGTTGGTGATGATGACCCGGACCAGGTTCCGCACACAGGTATTGATCGTGTTTAGCCCGTTGCGGCCATCCCAGAAACGGTTGTAGGATGTTTGGTTGCGGAAGACCAGCATGAGGCCGACCACGATGGATAAAGATGGAATCTGTGGTTGAAGCGGTGCAGTGAGTTGCGGCCGCTCCAATCATGTCATGACGAAGGCGGGGGAAAAGATAGAGAGAGATCAAGAAAAAGACAAGACAGAAAGGAAGAAAGAAACGAGAAGAAAGAGGGAAGAAAGTATCGAGTAAAGAACAGGTACAGAACAGAGAAAGAAAAAGAAAAGAAGGAAGAGAACTTACGATACTACTCGGGAGGCCGACAGTGTCGAAGACGTCCTTGTCCAGCCATACCACGAAGGCCGTAAACAGTGCGTGCAAGAAGACTGGCACCAGAATAGCTGCATGAATGGCGCCTTTGATGAAACGGAATACCAACGGCCATCTGTCATCATGTAAGTCTGGATATGAGGACGAACAAGGGTTCCAATACGCACCGCCTTGGTTTGTGCCTGGTGGACAGAAGGTGGGGGTGGGTTCCGTGACGATAATGATGGGCATTATTGAGAAACATGGTGTTGCGGCGGCTCAAGACCGGTGTAGAAGGGTTGCTGAGACTCAACCGCATGATGAACCTGCAGGGACTCGAGTACAGTAGGAGGAGGAAGTATGTACTGTAGGTTGTCTCGTTGAAAGAATAGAGATGAGGAGAAGGGGCGCAAAGAGCGGTCTGCGACTACGGAATTGTATAGTTAGCGCGGATCTTTGATCGATCTTATCAGATCAACCCATCCCGAGTACTTCTCCGCTTAGCACTCTTTCTCAACTTTCCAGTAAATCTCCTGCAATTATCTTTGATGAGCATTTTGAATTTAGAGTACAAAGGTACGGATAATATGAAGCCGCGTCGTGAAGCGGAGATTTGTTCACACTCACTGGTCACTTTCTCAAGCATCGAAATGTCAGTCGAACTTGACGTGTAGTGGTTATAGATAGTAACCTCTGTGTGATATGGAGATCTGAATCTATCTTGGTATATTGGGCCCCTCGAGGTCGAGGCATTCTAGAATCATATGGATTGTTTTTCCAAGGAACACTCCCAATCCCCTCCGCGCCTGGGGTGCTGATACTTCGAGGATCTGGATGATTGGCAGTACGCAGCTGGGGGTTGGTGGCAGCTGGTATATGTGTTCCATCTCCAGACTACTTCAGGTAAGCTGGGTTACGTTGACCTCCATCTGTTTAGACACTCGGAGTACTTCTAAGACTTGCCCACTCCTATCCCAGGCGACAACGCCCCTCACGACGCCCTGTCGAGTGACTGCTACCTCTCGGTGTCTGTGTGCTTCCGCCCTAGCCGCCATGCAGTCAAGACATTTTTGCCGGCGCGCTTGGTCGAAGCACTGAGTCTGCTTGAGTATTGAGATTGTCATAATCCCGCTGCGTTCCGGATTGTTAGTGAATGGGCCTATGATCTTTTTATCATCTTCAGCAAGGCCAGCGGGTGGAAATGGCCCCCGCACTGCCCGGTATCAGACAAGAACGATGAGGACGATTCTTACTCATCGCAGCCAGACCAGGGTTATCATGCTCCGTCAACCTGGACAACGATGAGTATGTGTTGTACTTAGACTACCGTGGTATTCGCTTTCGCCGTCGATGGGACAAAGTAAACCGGATTGGATGCGAGGTGGCTCACTCGCAACTCGTAAGAGAAAAGTGTAAGCTTTGAAAGGTTTGTGCGACGAGACCAGAGCTAACATGATCTTCGAATACATACAGAGTTCGAACCATGGATAATAACAGACAGGGACTCATGTAAAGGGAAGAAAGTCGGTGTGTATCTGTAGTCTGAATCACGCTGGGCTAAGACCCTTGGGCTACAACCTTACTAAAGACCTCGAGGGGCAGCTATCTTAATTTAGAGATCTCTATGGGGCAGCCAGCTACTAGATACTAGGTAGTCAAAGGTCTTCCCGGGGGTTACCCAGGCAGAGGTCTCCCGGATAGCTTGATTCCCAACGGTCAAGATAGTTTACTCCAAATCTGGTAAGAGGTTACTGTGGTTCAGAAATCGATGTTGGAGGACCTCAGTATACCGTACAGACGGAAGTAAAAGCTCAACGTGGTTCAGAAAAGCGGTAAGAGAAGTGACAGAATTACTCCGTGTGGCAGTTCAGGCCAGTAGCAAAGGCGGCGGCCAAGATGGTAAGAACTACTACTAGTAGGTAGAGCCATGACCTAGTAATTGCTTGATCGGGTACTGTAGCTGCTACATTCTCCTAACTCCTCTTACACCCGGCTTGGACATTGTTTGGTACAGCATCATTGCTTATTGAATCAGCATACACAGTAGACACAATACTGTATATATAGTTTGTGAGTGGGTCTAACCGAGCATCAAGGCAATTAAGCAGCATGCATCAAGGTTTGACAGCCAATAGCGCAAGTGATTATGAAAGCTTTTGAATTGACTACTATTCCATGCTGTCAAATACGCGGAGGATACAATGCCGGTGTGGGACACCTGACTAAGGTACTACTGTGTATAACAGTACCGCGTCAAGAAAGCCCGCCAGAATCGCAAGGATTCCCTTCTAGACTCCGTCAAAGCGGCCTGTCTCCTTGTGAGATTACCATCCAGTCCATCTCCTGGTCACTGTGATGTTATTTCATCATGAAAACTGGCCTTGCATCATGCTGCTAGCGAGAACTCGAGTAATGGAAGTCTCTGAATCCTCTGGGTCAGGACAATCAGTGATGTAAGATGGTACACTGGTGTAGGGTATGAATTCATGATCGACAAGTGGTGTAATAGGGATTTAATTAGAAAGATAAGTGTGGTTTGATAAAGATCTTCAGGATGACCTATGGATCTGCTTTTGACTACGTACAGATTACTGTGTAATTCTGGTGGTGCAGGTTCGGAAAGTGGCCGTTGCCAGCCCTGAGGCCAGTCCCTGAGGGCCTGGAGAAACGCAGTGACTAAGCCCGGGACACTTGGACGGATTGAGATTTCCAGATGACGCTTGACCATATATAGTCTAGTGCAATGGTGCACTTCCCGCAGCTCCGTCCAATCAACTGATGTTCCCCGCAAACGCGAGACATAATCAGCCAATCACAGCTGCACACTGCTACGCCGCCGACATCAAGGACCGGCTCCGCTGAAGTCATGATCGGCAACGCGCAACCGGCTTTGATGGTCCAGCCTTACCATCATCCATTTTGTGCTTTTTGAGTTACTCAGACTGTGGACTGTGGACTGTGGACTACACCAAACGAGATTCTGCCCGTCAAAGGGGTTGAAGCTGTTGCTGCCCCACACGCAATTACTCCAAATGTACCTGGAACTAGGCACCCCGTTGTCAAGTCTGTCCCGCAATGTCTGGACCCAAAAAGCCTGGAGGGTAGAAATAACAGAGACAATCCTGAAGGAGCAAGGAACCTGCTGATCTAGGGCTGACCGTCAATTAGCACATCACGACGTCATTCAATGCTGGTCTCACTTTGGAGAATTCAATCATTCACAAGTGAAACACGGAGACAACCAAGGGCGTACTTCGTAAAAGTGATGGGTGGTATTCACTGTCTACGTAGCTTGACGTCATACTCTCCTGTTCCCCTCGTGGATTTCCCCCTGCAAAGAAGTTATATAAACCTGAGGATTTCACCTTCCAGTCCATCTCCAGATCATCTTCAATCATAACAACACAAACACAATCAACACATTCAAGACAACCACTTTTACAACTCTTTCTACCGCACTAATATCTATCTTCAATTTCACAACCATCCATCATGTCGAACATCATCCACAAGGTTAAGGACGTGGTCACCGGTCATCACCACGAGAACAAGACCGAGAACCCCTCTTCCGACAACCACGGTCCTCACTCCTCCAAGATGGCCAACAAGATGGACCCTCGCGTCGACAGTGATCGTGGTTAGTACTGATTGACAATTCCCGGTACAATGTGATGCTAACTATCTTCTAGACAACCGTGCTCGCCACGAAGCCATGGGTGGTACTCACGGCCCCCATGAGACCAACATGGCCAACAAGGCCGACCCCCGCGTCGACTCGGACCGTGACCACCGCGCTCACCCCTCCACCACCACTGGATACAGCGGCAGCACCAACGCTGGTCCTCACGACAGCAACATGGCCAACAAGGCCGACCCCCGCGTCGACTCGGACCGTGACAACCGCGCCCGCCACGAGGCTCTCGGCGGTGCCCAGGGCCCTCACAGCTCCAGCATGGCCAACAAGATGGACCCCCGCGTCGACTCGGACCGTGACAACCGTGCCGCTCACCACTCCACCACCTCCACTGGCGCTGGCTACGGTGGTGCCACCACTGGCTACAGCGGCAGCACCAACGCTGGTCCTCACGATAGCAACATGATGAACAAGATGGACCCCCGTGTCGACTCGGACCGCGACAACCGTGCCCGCCACGAGGCTCTCGGCGGTGCTCAGGGCCCTCACAGCTCCAGCATGGCCAACAAGATGGACCCCCGCGTCGACAGTGACAGAGGTAAGTTGAATACTTCCTCGCTTCCATCCACAATTCGAGACCTCTAACTCACCCTCTGAACAGACAACCGCGCTGCTTACGGCGGAGCTTCCACCGGCCCCGGCGCCTACGGCTCTTCCACCGGTGCTGCAGGCTACGGTGCTGGCCCTACCACCACCACTGGCACCGGCTTCGGCACCACCGGCAGCACCAACGCCGGCCCTCACAGCTCCAACCTGATGAACAAGGCCGATCCCCGCGTCGACTCGGACCTGGACAACCGCGCCCGTCACCACGGTATGGCCAGCAGCAGCTACAACACCGGTGCCACTGCCGGCCCCCACCGCTCCGACATGGCCAACAAGATGGATCCCCGCGTGGACTCCGACTTGGACAACCGTGGTACCCTTGGTTCTCAGCGTGGCTTTTAAAAATACACGAAATCCAGAGACCAACCCAGAAAGGAATTTAGACAAAAGAGGAAACGGGGAGACAGTCTGGAGTGTCTGACTGACTGACTGACTGAACCCTTGTCTTTGTTTTCTCTTGTTTTTTTTCCTCTTATGATGCTGTTACGACCCCCTTTGCTCTCGTGATGATACATACGCCTTTGTTGTCTCTTGTTTGATACCAAGCAAGTTTAATGATTACCCCTATTGATGATGTACTTTATTATCGAGGAGATTTGATAGGTTATCATCGAAATGCACTATTCTGAAATCAACCTTTTGATCTTTTGTGGTAGCGTAACTGAGTCCGACGATAGCTTGCTAGTTAATAACAGTAGCCCACAATGCTCACCCACCCATCGTTCCCCCCGGTCTTAAGTCAAGTGAAGAGAATGAACTCTACAGTTGGCATGACTTCATGACTTATAACATCACCCTGAGACTTCAGCTTACTCTAATCTAATCCTGATCTAACCGACAGTTCGAAGTTTAATGACCCTATTGTCAAGGCAGGACACCCCCCTTTCCACTATTCGGATCTGATTGATGATCGTTGTTCTGAGCTGCCTGCACAGACCATTAATTATGGTGTGCAGCTTTACACACACAAGTCCAATGCACAGGGTGTGCAGGATCCGAGCAGCGGACAAGGAAGGTCAAAGGGTGGGGAGTGGGCCTGAAGCATTGTCGAGCTTGTACAGTAACTTCACAACATCATGTACTCCACCTACCCTACCCAGTGTACATGAAGTACATGAGTACATCCATTCCTCGGGAGCAGACTGATAAGTCATGGTTCTCGTACTATTTCTGCAACAATAGTCTAGAACCAAACACCCATTAGAAATTGTGATTTACGAGTTTGATTCTGTCTGCACTATGTGCGTGCTAAGAGTCGAACAAAGTACAGAACCCTAATGGGTTTCGGGGTAGTAAGTTCGTTCATAGATTGTGTTGGGTGAGAGGGCGCTGTGGGATCGGCAGTACTTGATCTGACCCAGAGACCCAGAGAAATGTGGTGTGGTGAGGTTATCGCTTGGAGTTGCCGAGAAGTACTATCATTTATTGTACATGGCCATAATCCGCTGATCAAAGGGCGGGTAGAAAAAGCAGAGGAAAAATCATAGAACGGAGGATGGGAAATGGAAATTGATGATACTGACCTCGAAACGGAATGTCGTATGGGGATCCGTGACGTACGAATATTACCTACCGGTATGTGACACAATGGTGGTACAGCCAAGGTGGAAACATGCATGCAGGTATTTTGTGTGCTCGACGGGCACGGGGGGGGGACGCATCATGCAGCCCAGATGAACTCCTTTCTCAAACATGAAACAAACGTCCTCGAGCCGAAACACGTTACGCAAATCTATGCGGTTTTCAACACCTTAATTCAACCATTACTCAACGATGAACAACTTCACTATGCATGGGTGTCACGACTGGACTACTGCTATATACACTTGCGCCGAAAGCGCCGATTGGATGTGGAAAATAAGAGACAATCCGACCCCGGCCATTCTCTGAATGCAGTATATCCTGCAGATTCGTCCTAAAGGCCAAGACGACTTGCATAACTGCTGCCTCGAATAATGTCATCTGCAGGGTCGGATGTGAAAATGAAAGAAAGGGTTGCTTCAAAATGGGTATAAGTCATATCCACGGGTTGGACCGCGATGCTCAATGCTTGGGCTGAAAAAAAGACACAAAAAGAGAAATTGAAGACGACGAGGATGACACTGGCTTGAACGAAATGCGAACAGATAAATAAAAGAGAGCGCGAAAATTGCAGCGACGACCAGAGAATTGCCTCCGCATGCAAAAGTGGCGGGAGCAATTCCACCCCAGTAAGCCAACTACCCAGAACGCAGGGAGCTGGACTGACTAGGGCATCGCAGCCCGGCCGTCCAGGGCCAAAGGCCCTGAGTCGTTCAACGGCGTCAACGGATTCTCATCCGACGAATCGGAGCGCACAGGCGTTTCAGCACGCAACTGGGCCTGCCGAGTCTGGGCGGATGAAGGGGACTGGGTCAAAGACTGCCAGCCTGGCATGTCACTGTGGGCGCTGGACAGGCCAGGGTTGGGATTCGATGTCGGCGCCGGCGGGTGCGAGGAATTATCGTCCGACGCGTCCAGATCTCGAAGCCGCATGTTCTCGATATTTGCGGCGAGTCCCGCCTCCACGGGAAGACTTGGCTCGAGCCGACGTTCGTCACCTGAGGTTCGCGAGGATGGGATGGCAGCGTTGGGTTCCGGCTGGGGGTGGTGTGTCTCCGACTGAGCGAGTTCAGGAGCATCCGGCTTGTCTTCCGCAGCGGATTTCGATTCCTCTTGCTCCTCGAAGTCGTTGGTGTCGTCTACCTCTGCACTAAGATCGGTGTAGGCGCGGCAATTGGGGCATTGGAACATAGGGTAGTCGGGTGTATGAATCAACCGGCTGACACACTTGTAGTGCCAGACGTGGGCGCAGGCGGCCATGAACAAGCACTGATAAGGGCGCTTTTTTTAAACACTTCATTAGCTACGACTCTGCCTCAGGAGCACAACACAAACTTACCAAAACAGAACCCAGGCAGATGGAGCATTCTCGGCATCCTGAGTAGTCCGCGGTATCCCCCTTGCCAAGATTCTTGATGAGGTTCTCGGTATTTTTGCTATGCCAATGTTAGCTCACTGTTGATCACAATGGGGGTCGAAACATCTTCCGTACTTGAATTCATTGGGCTGCTGTTGCCAGGATCGGTTACATTCAATCCGGATACGGACACAGCGAAATATCATTTCCTCGCCACCTCGAAAGTCAATGCCTAGCTGCACGATATCCCCATCCTTGATGGTGTACAACCGGGAGGCGATATTTGGCTGGCTCAGTCGCATATGGTTGAGAAAGGTGCCCGACGAACTTCCGACATCCTTAACATGCCACTGTCCGTTCAGATACATGAACTCGCAATGTTTGCGACTCACGACCTTGGATTTGAACCCGACCGGGGCATCGGAGGGCTCCGTGGGATTTGCCACTGGCGTGCCATCCCGCTCCGAATATCGACCGACGCGAATGACACAACTCTCGGATGGTAATGTGCGAGAAATTGGAATGAAGGGCAACGAAGGGCGGCTGCTTGCATGCGAGTCTTGGTGAGGAAAGAAGCGGATGGTGGCTTTTTGTTTCGGTCGCGGGGAGGCAGCGGAAGGGCTTTCGGACACTACTGGATCGGGGCTCTCAAGGGCGCCAGGGTGAAGGCTCCCTGCGCTCGACACCTCGCCGTTGGGCCTTGCATTGACAGCTTGTGACGAACCTCGGGGTCGCGCCATTATTCCTCGTGTGTGATTGCCGGGAGTCTCGTTGCGAGGAGTAGGTGAGTTGGGCGATTCGGTGGGTGATGATGGTTGGGAGCGCAAGTCGAGTTCGAGGCCACGGTAGCTGGGGAAAAAAACCGAGCTATAGCGGGCGAACGTGGACTGATGTTCAGTTTCCGGACATGGGGCCCGGCTGGAAGTCTCCACTGTGGTGGACGAAAGATCGGGTCCGGTGGAGGCGGCTGAAAACCAAGAAACTCGATTACCGAGAGTATGACGACGTGAAACTCGCTGACTGTTGGTCGACGAGGAGGAGGACGAGGCGGAGGCGGCACTGGGTTGCGGTGAAGGGAAAGAGAAATGATTTTGCGTGTAGGCACGTAGTTGACTTAGACGACGGAGAGGCCGCAGACGAGATTCGGAGGAAGGAGAAGAAGAAGATGGGAGGAGGTTGGAGGAGGGAGAGGCGGAGGCGGAAATAGAAACAGAAGACATTTGGGGGGGGAGGGAGGAGGAG